TTCTCCTCCTGAATCAAATTGGTCCCTTGAGTTTGACTTGACTTCTCCAAGAAGCTAACCTGCCTCTTGGCTCCAGAGACTCTTGGTCGGATTTTGTTCTGTTTGTCTCTCTGAACTGGACTTTCTTAGATGTTTTCAAGAGAAGTACCATTTGCCTTTTTTTCTCCAACTGCCTTCCCTTCTATTTTAACACTTCCTCTCATCCCAAAGCTCACTAAACATACTGTTTCCAAATTGTTCTCCATTAGTTCTTCTCTAGATGTTTTTTAATCTGCCATCTGAACTTTGAACTCCTTAGAAACCATTCTTTCATGACCTTTGACTGTCTTTCAAGAGGGTCCTCCTCACCTTCCTGTTGGTGTCTTCACCTTCTGGAAGTCTTCAGTGAACCTTTGTTTTTCATCCCCTTCTCTTCACCTATGCTTGTTTTGGGCTACCAGAAATTAAGTGACCATTCCTATGCTGATGACTTACAGACCTATTGCTCTCCTCCAGATTATTTTCCTGAGTACATTTGAATTTCAGGCAGCCTTCCTGAAGGTTTAGGGAAGGTTTACCATTTTAGACCAGTAGTAATACCAATCAAGAGCAACTACATTCATTGAAGCACAAGAGATAATTACTGACTTGGGGAGGGTGAACTGGTGTGTGCTGTGGAGCTCCTAGACAGAGACAACTGACAGCCAGCTAGCAGCAGAGGTAGATCATCTCAGGTCTGCTTGCACCACTCCCTCTAACCATACTGTCTGTCTCAGTCTTTCCACCATAATCACAGTGAGTTCCTTTCAAATTCAGAGTTCTTGCTTGGAGTCTGGAATGAATTTTCTGAGAACTTAGAAGTAAATCTTTTTAACTACAAAACACAAGGAGTTGACAAACTCCTGTCCTGTAAAAAACTTAGCTTTCCGCAGTAGAGAGCCTTGCCTCAAAAACCCTAGTAGTGTAATAATGCAGATGCTTTAAACTTCATGTGTAGCTGCATGTGAACTGTATTTGCATAAACATGGTTGAAAGGCAAGGGAATTGTGAATATTTGATGTTATAAATACTTTCTGCAGTTATATAAGCTGAGGCCAGCTCATATATCTGGCTGAGGTCAGTGGATCCTGAAGGAGGGCCAGCCGTTCCATCAAAGGTACCTTAAGCAATGGCCATCTTCCTGTCTGACTAACCGTCATGCGTTTGTTCCATTAATTGCAGTGACTCAGTGTTTGGGGAAGACTGGCCCTGTGATAGGTTCAGCTTTGTGGTTTGCTGTTTAAAGATCCTGTGCTTGCTTGAGCATGCATTCTCTACAACAGCCCTGACCCAGGAACAGGTTGGTTTCCTGGGGGCTGGCTTGAACAAGAGTCCTTCAGCATTACTGTTGATCATGGCTAGAAGCAGGACAACGTCCTGGGACTGGGAGCTACCAAGGGATGTGTGAGTGAAGATGAAGTGGGGTCCACACCAGTGCTAATCATTCACTGTACTGATGGGTTGGGCACCTTTTGTTCCTTGAGCAGAGTTGAGGCTTGACCTTGGAGATATTACCAGCTCTGCAGCTGTAGCTGGTGAGTCTGGTCTGGAGGGAGAGGATGGTGTGAGGTCAGACCTGAAGCTTTCCAGCTGCCTGGTCTTGGTTGGGTGAGCAAGTCAAAAAAGACTCTGGTTCACCTGCCTTGGAGTGCTGGACCCCTTTGATGTCACAGGGACGTGACATTGATGTTTTAAGCTTGGTTGTGTAAATGCTGACCTTGGGGGCCTCCTTGGGCTGGTCCTCAGGAATGAGAGGGAGCGTTCACTTAAAGCCCAATTTAGCCCATCTCCCAGGGTAGGAGGAGGCAAAGGTGAGAAGGAAAGCCTGATCTGCAGAGGAGGAAGAGGGGAGGCTGATCTTGTTTGGATGTACAAATGCTTCCACATCTTGCCTTCGCAGCCCGCAGCCGGGACCCTGCAGAGGGGAAACACAACTTCCTGGTCCAAAGCTGGGAGTTCTCCCAACTCATCAGGGAGCTGTGGGGACAGGGAAGGGAGGCACAGGGACATTCCGGAAGGCAGGCAGAGTTCTCATGCTGTTTCTAATTCTGCCATCTAATTAGCTGTAAAAAAAAAAAAAAAGTACTAAAAATATCATCATTGTGGGGTGTGGGGGAGGAATGGGATAGGGGAAGCCAGCAGAGAGGAAGGGAGGGACAGGGTATCCCAGCCTTGGCATCCCTCCCCTGTGACAGTTTTCTCCCTCCCTGTACTGGAATC